CTTACCTCACTTATTATTTTAATATCAGTGCTATTGTCATTCTTTCTTGAGTTATTATTGTAATAGCAGTGCTATTGGCATTCTTTCCACAGTTATTATTGTAATATCAGTGCTATTTTCATTCTTACCTCACTTATTATTTTAATATCAGTGCTATTGTCATTCTTTCTTGAGTTATTATTGTAATAGCAGTGCTATTTTCATTCTTTCCTGAGTTTTAATGTAATGTCAGTGCTATTGCCATTCTTTTCTTAGTTCTTATTGTAATATCAGTGCCATTTTCATTCTTTCCTCACTTATTATTGTAATATCAGTGCTATTGGCATTCTTTATCAATTCTTATTGTAATATCACTGCTATTGTCATTCTTTCCTTAGTTATTATTGTAATATCAATGTTATTGCCAATTTGTCTCAGTTCTTAATTTAATGTCAGTGCTATTTTCATTTTTTTCTCGGTTTTGATTGTAATATCAAATCCTTTGTCATTCTTTTCTCGGGTATTATTGTAATATCAGTGCTATTGTTATTCTTTAATCAGTTATTATTGTAGCATCAGTGTTTTTGTCTTTCTTTCATTCCTTATTATTGTAATATTAGTGCAACTGTCATTCTTTTATGAAGTCTTATTTTAATATCAGTGCTATTGCCATTCTTTCCTCAATTATTATTGTAACATCAATGCTATTGTCATTGTTTTCTCAGTTATTGTTGGAATATCAGTGATATTGTGATTCAACAATTTCCTAGTGTGTTCGAGACGACCTCTTCTTTAGTATATAAGCCTGGTAGAGAATACAACGAGAGATAATTAAAGAAGCGAACAGTTGTGACGGTAAGTAAAGTGTGTGAACCATTGTGAATTATAGAGTGTATTATTAAAAGTTGTTAAGTTTAAAGTGACGAGAAAGGTATTCACTGTGGAATTACTGTGTGCTAAAAGTTTATATCGAGAAAGAATAAACTAGTCTTAATCAAGAAAGGAAAGAATGAAAATGGCACTGATATTACAATAACAACTGATACATATTTGACAATAGCACTAATATTACAATAAAAAGTGAGGAAAGAATGAAAATAGCACTGATATTACAATAAGAACTGATAAAAGATCATTCGAGAAATTCCTTACACAGGCCACCAGCGCCAATACGCCAGCAGCGTCACGTGACTTCGGCTGTCGTAAGAAGAAATATTTTATTATATGAGTAGCAGAGTGCATAAAGACATCTAGCCTGATAATAAACATGCCTTAGACAAACAAAATAAATTAGGAAATGTCCATGATTTGAAGAACAGTAAGTCGACTAGAAACATGCCCACCATAAAAAGATGCTTCACGGTAGTTATAATTGGTTTGCAGGATGTGGAATTTCTTTAAAACCACTAAATAGTTAGACAGTGAATTGGAGAACATGAATTATTGACGATAACATTTCGTTAATTGACAATATGGACTCGATGCACAAGCTGGGCCTTAGCTTTCCCAGCGACTCAAACGATCAGATCAGCGTGACATATGGACTGAAGAACATGTAGAAGAATGTATTTTTTTACAAACAAGTCTTTCTTCGCCCGCAGCCACAAATGAAACATACCCATATTAGGATAATGTTCGGGATCAGATTTAATGTCAACTTCACGAGTAAAGTCTCGCACTTGGTGATATATTAGTGTGAGCAGACATTAGTATTGATGTGCCTTTTGACATTGCATTGTGAACGTCACTCGATATTCGAATGCAGTTGTTACGTCTCTGTTCGTTTGTTAATTTCCAGTAAAAATTCTTTCCAAAGAACTTCAGCGATCAAAGTACTTTCTTAAACAAAACTAGTTTATTCTTGCTCAATACAACTTTGCAATACACTTAATTTCCAGAGTCACTTTAACTTCAACACACGCTATAATTCACAACGATTCACGCACTTTACTTACGACTTGACTATTATCTGTCTCTATGACTCCCTATCTGCTAATTACATCTCCGGTTTATTTGCCGGGTTTATATACTAATATAGAGACACAACGGGTGCTGGGCAGCATCAATTGGAAGAATGTTCAAGCCAACTACATATGTTACACAATTGGTTTAAGACTGTGTTACGACAGCGGAAGTCACGCGACGCTGGAAGCATGCACGATGGAGTTTCTAGAAGGATCATGACTGTTCTTGGCAACTCTAGTCTTTTCTAGTCGCAGCAATGTGGTCAGTTCTTCCACCAGTCTCATCCACAACCACAGTTTTGAGGAAAAATCTCGTGATGCCAATCGCATGTTCAATTGCATTTAAGTATGGTGAGCATGCCAGTCAGTTCATTTGCTTGATGAAAGCTCCTCTTCCAGAATATCACTAATCCACTATACCAGTTGTTCATTGATTTACTTGAAATAAGCATGTCACAACAATAATGGAAGAACTGACCATATTGTTCCAGATGTTCATTGACTTACTTGAACTAAACGTGTCACAACGATGATGGAAGAACTGACCACATTGCTCCAGTTGTTCATTGATTTACTTCTATTAAGCATATCACATCAATGATGGAAGAACTGACCACATTGCTCCAGTTTTTCATTGACTTACTTCTACCAAGCATGTCACAACAATGATGGAAGTATTGACTACATTCCTCAAGGTGTTAAAAGTTGTAGCTAGTGATGAGTTGGCCGACGCGTTTCGAATGCATTCTGCATCCATTATCAAGGCTGAATGTTGTGTGAATTGTGATTACTGTTGGTGGATATTTATAGGTATGGGTAAGCAGGTGGTGGTATCTAGCTCGTGGGAGGCGTTAATGAGAATAGAAGAATTCTAAGAAGAAAGTAAACCTACAGACATCGGTCTTGTTTAACAAAAGTTTGATGAATAAACACTGAAAGTTATGTATAAAGTTTGATCAATAAACACTTAAAATCATATATAAAGTTTGATGAATAAACACTTGAAATAATGTATAAGTATTACACAAAGTTATTATCGCTGTCAACAAAATGTCACCAGTAATGAAATGGCAAGGTCCAACATTATAAGGACTACTCATTAATATTGCATTGTGTTCATCCCATAGTAAACAACTGACCTTGCTGCGGAAGGAAATAATTAAAACTCATTTCTAAAAAAAGATCAAAGTGCTGCTCACGAGAGTCAAACACTGCTAGATGTTGTCTAAAACCAAACTTTTGCAAGATTAATATATCTAGTATTTTTTGTATAAGTGAAACCATGACCCATTGTTTTAACAACATCAAGACGGCTTATCGACTTCTTGAGAAGAATTCTAAGAAGAAAGTAAACCTACAGACATCGGTCTTGTTTAACAAAATCTGCCTAAAGAGAAAGTTGTAAAATACAGGCTGGAGCTAGAACTTTAATAGTTTGTATTACACCTACTTGGCTATCAGTTGTTTCAAATCTTCAAGATGCCTAGTTTGTAACTTAAAGTTATAAACTACATGCATTCCCAATGGGTATGTCATAATGACAAGGAATAAATTTAACAAGAGGGTATCCTCAATAGCTGCGGCACATGAAATTCATTTAGTCAGGATTTAAATAAATTAACCTATGAGACCTTGGGCATGTTCAAGTATATCAATCTAAAGGGTTTGACCTCCCGAGTACAAAACTGTAATTTGATCTCATATCGGTCAAGGGATGAAGGAGCTATGAGCTAAAAGTCTGTACTTGAAAAAAAACAAAAAAACTTGGAGCTGTTCTATGATCCCTTGTGCTATGGCTAAAAATTACAGTTTCAACATATGGTAGTTTGGTTTTCGAATACTGTATGACTATAAGTATTTATGGTCTAGAAAACTATTATATGGTATCTATGATTATGGTAAGTTCTTAAGTAGAAAATATCTGCAGAAATTATAATAACTATTTATATCTTGCAGTAACTAACATTCAGTTTTCTACTTCATTATAGTTAAAAAAATTGTTTATATTCAAATTTCTTGGATAATTACTTTTATATAAAAATAAATTTGTCATCATTCATGTATTTAGTGAATTAGACTGAACCTAACTCTTAGAAGCTGAGCATATTATAAAACATTTTAATGGAATTGTGAAAACAAATTGATAACAGAGAAGATACCTAAATGCCAAATCAAAACAATCTAATCTCTAAAAATTTCAAATCATATTTGCAGTTTATATTGTACATGTTATGGTCACTTTCAGGTGATGTTTAACTGTCTCTCTCTTTCAAGATAAACTGTAGTAATTATAATGACAAATATTCAATTCATGATTAATTATCACCACCATAGTGCCTTCATTAATGTACATCTCATTTGAAATTATTGCAGTCGTAATCGGTGTTAGTTTGCTCGTATTCAGAGTTATAAATAATTTCCACTATACTCCTCAGTCTCTTACGTAGTCATGAATTATTCTGCTCAGGACTCCAAAATGATATTTCTTCAATCCAGTGCTTCACCACATGACTTTGTCATCCTCTGAGAATCTAAATAAGGAATATTAATAGATGATGTTGTAAATGCTATATTTAAAAACATGGTTTTCTGTGTGTTTTGTGTATAAGTTGATTGATATTCTACAATCATTGTCTTTGAAAGAATACATTGAATTTTGGACTTTAATACATGTATGAAAGTTTTCAAAGAGCTTTCACTTTTAATGGAAAAACCATACCTAAAACCTTTAATGGACATGATAAGAATACAGTTCAACATAATAAATTATTCAAACTAGATCAATGCATTTTCACTACATATTTGAAATATCTTAAGTATAAACTAAAATAACTAGGAGAATAAAATTTTAAAATGCTTCAAAATGAATTCAAAGGGCGTTTGATACAATAGATAATAACACTTTGTTATTCATTACTAGAACTTAGTTTTTAAATTATTCAGACATATTCCTTTGTAACACAAGGATGAGAGAGATTTGAAAATTGTTTATGAACAATAAGAAGCACCTGTTTAGTAAAGAAAGCAGTACAGATATAATTTTCTTACTTCAAAAGGTTCACTCATTCCCAGCACATTATCAAAACTACTGCTGATATACAACAGCTGGTATGTGCCAGGAAGAAGAATATTATGGTCAGCAAAAGTTACTTGATATTGTAGCCAGGCACAATGGGCCCTAGTAGAGCTTTCTTGAGTTGACACAATCAAATCCTCACTTTCTGGTGTTGATGATGAAATGACAAGTGGCTTAGTAGAAGCCCAGACATAACAAAGATACTCATCAATGCTGCTAAACTGTACCTAGAAGTAGTCAAATTATAATAGTAAGAAAAATGAAATTTGCTTATACTACAAAACACTGAAAACTAGATATAAGTTGTAAAGAATAAACAAGTCAAGAGCAGTTAAAATACTATAAACTCAAACTTGAAAACAATGTACAAATTGAATTATGAATACAACATAAAAACATGAATACAAAACACAAACTCCTAAAACATCAATATAATGTATAGCACTTAAATACAGATATCAAGCAAATCAAAAGCCTAGAATATCTATAAAATTAATTGTATATGAAACCTTAGAATGCAAGTAACATTTACAAAACTCGATCAATTTGAAATTTTTAAGTCTCATTTACAAAATACAATTTTTTTACCATGTTTATCACACTTAAAAACATTTAAAGTTTAGAATGGTACAATCTACCCGATACAAGCCTATCCAGTCCCAGGTGTGAATATCTGCTCTAACAGTTTTGTAGCAGGCAATTCCATCTGTGTTTATTCTCCAGTTCTGAACAGGAAAGAAAATGATCAAATCTTCTTTTGGTTCAGAAAAGACCTGGAATGTTAATGCCCAAGCACTTTAAGTTGAGGTTAATGAATTTAATGACATATGTTTCTAAAAAATATCAGATAGTAACTTTTAACCTTATAGAAATTGTATTTCCAATTAATACCACTTCACACAGAATAGCTTATTTTCCTCTTGAATTTGTGCAATCTAACAAAGAGATCTGCAAGCCACCAGCCTTTTGAAAACTCCCATCTACTCTCACATGAAAACATATGAACTTGTACCACTGTATCATAACAGAATCATGCAGCAGAGCCCTCCATTAGGAGTGCAACACAAATCCATGCATAAATATTCCCTCTATGTTTGTGCTCATGAATCCTCATTCTTTGAGGAGGCAACAAAGAAACGTGCATTGAAAAAGTAGGGAGGATGAATGGGAATGTGTGTGAAGAGGAAATTATCTGTTAGAAATACATTTTTAGGTAAGAAAAATGAATACTTACTTCTGTACACAGAATAGCTAGAATCCCATGTTCAGATGGTGCTAATATTACATAGATAAGCTCTCTTCAGAAACCTTCAAAAAGAATCCAATGGGGTGTGATACCTGATGGCAGGGGTTCCATAAGGACACACCTGTGAGAGATCACATCTTGTCACATCCAGGGTATACTCTTCACCTGCATATAAGAAGAAAAGAGGCAGAAAAGCCTTAAATGTGATGCAAGGATGAGTGAAATAAGTAAGTTACCATCTGAGTACTTGCACAGAAGCTGTCTGACAGTCAATATGTGTAGTGATATTGGGGCTCATTCAGACCATACCTCGTGTGCTCACCTCCTCTACCATCAATCACTATGGGCCCCATACCAGCAGCAGGAGGAAAGCAGTATGTGGAATAATGTCAGTAAGATTAAAATATAACCTCTACTTGATCATCAGTCACTATAGTCCTCTTGCCTGCTTTGGGAGTAAGGCATGCCAGTAATACGTAACTGGTATATATATGGTGTGTTCACCTCAACTGTACCATCAATCTCTATGGGCCCAATGTCATCTGCAAGAGGAGGGCACTACATTAAATATACCTCCCCCAACCATTAGTCTCTATGGGCAGCAAGCTAGCTGTGGGAGTAGTGGTTATTTTATTTTATAGTAGTATATGGAATGGACCAGAAATAGTGTTTACCTCGACTCTACTGCACACAATTTGGCTGCAGGAGGAGGATTTGTAAGAGAAAGGATGAATACAGTGATTTGTAACATCAGTCCACATGAAGATTATGATGTGACACAACCATGGATTGTTCAATTGGACCATTACAAATGATCCATCAGGAGGGGAAGAAAATGACAGCATGCCCACAAGACAGCAAGCAGTTTGAAGGCTCTGGTACATGAAGTAAACACTTTTCAATGTTCCAGGAACCCAAAGTCAGAAAGTCATTCAGGGATGCATCCCATCCAGAGAGAGAAGCATTCTTGAAGAGATGAATGTCTATTTTGGAAGTAAGTAAGGGAATACTGGAGGTAGTGTTGGAGCAGTAAAGAAGGAGGGAGAATGATTGGTGAGGACAGTGGATCTCTAGAAAGGATCCATTGGCCACACAACATCCACTGTAGGGGACACATATGTGCATGGCCAAGTGGAATGAGGGGTTCCAGAGAAGCCATGGCTCCCAAAAGAGATTTAAATTCTTGTGCTGAAGGTGAGGCATGAACTTTGGTGCCAAATGCTTGAGGTCTGGTAAGTTTGGGCACTTGGAAATCTTGATGGGCCAACCTAAATGAGCAGCTTCATGAAGAAGAAGGGAAATGCATTCAGAGGATGCTTTCCGAGAATGGGCAAGGAGAAATCAAGCGTTTGTATAGAAATTGAAACACAGGCCTAGACCATAAACATTTTGAGCAAAGGCTAGCATAATGTGATGTAAAACATAATGGGCTGACACTATTCCCAATGGAAAATGCAATCCTGTGGAAAAATCTGTGAAAACATCAGGAAGACGGGGTAATCAGGATGTGGAGAAGTGAATCCAACACATCAACTTGATCTTCCACAGGCCAGGTTGGATAGACCAACAGAGAGAGAAAAAAACATTCTCTTTTCAAAAATGTGGGACAGCCAAGAAATGACCGAGGGAGGAAAGGTCAATAATTGGGTGCCAGTCTTTGGTCATTTTAGGGACAACAAAGAGGCAGGAGTAATAACCAGGAGACTGGTTGTGAACTCTCTCAATGGCCTGTTTTTACAACAAATCTGAAACTGCTCCCTCCAGATATTGAAAAGGTGTTGAAAGGCTACATGATGGGAAAGAAGAGGAAGGGGGGGAAAATGAAGAAAAAGACCACGAGGAAAAAACTTGAATAACCCACAGGTTGGCAGAAAAATATGTCTATGGGCAGTAAACAAAACAAATGGGCTCCTACAGGTCCCGAGCTGACTAGATGGTCATTGGGGATTAGGCTGGTGAATGAGACATCAGATGGAAGTAGGACAGGAAGAGATGGAAGGCTGGGATACAGAAACTAAATAGGGAGCAGAAGAAAGGCCAGTATGAGGGACAGAGGTGGAGAGTGAGGTTGGGACAAACAGGAAACTGGGGAGGTATAAGAAGATTGACGGTAAGCAACTTTGGCTCATGACTCAAGGGTATCAGGGACACCCCGAAACACCTCAGGACGAAGAAGAAGGCCAAAACACAAAGGTCCAGGAGGGAGGAAGATGGACTTGAAAAAATAGGGTATCTCTTCCCAAAAGGTCCCAACAACAAAGGAACCAAGTGAGAAGAGAAATGGCAGAGGAGGTGGAATGTGGCATTGTATAAAAGAGGAGAAGTCAATAAGGGAATTGTGAAGTGCTTCTGTCATAAGAAAGAGGGAGGAGGGGTATCTAAGAAGGGTAGTAAGAAAGGCTCAAAATCAGAAAAATTAGGAATTAGATAGTGAAACAGCTAATAATGAATCCATCCCCTAAACTGGCAAGAGACTCTCGAAAGACTGGGTGTCAAGGAATGAGAAAGTTGAGTGACCATAAGCAAGGACATAGGAATCAGTCAGGCGAGAGGGATGAGGCATAAAGTTGTAGTAACAAAGTTGACCAAGAAAGGAATTGACATTTTCAGCAATGTCTGGGGAAAAGGGAAAACAAAGGAATTGCAAAGGGAAGGGTTGTGTAACAAAGGACAGAGGAGAACTGTACCTAAGTAATAAAGTTGCAAAAATCTGAGGAAGACAGATTATTCTTCAGTTGGTAAGGATGTTTCTAAAGCACAACCTGGAGGCAGAAAAAAATTGCTCAAATTCATCCTCCTCAACTTCAGTCTCAAAGGAGGGGGAAGAGACTGAAGCAGAGGGTTCTGGCTGCATCATGAAACCCACCACATGTTGGACAATGGCTGTTACAAATTCCACAGATGAAGAACTTCCCACCAAACTGTTGGTAATTTCTTCAGTGTGAGTAATATTTTTCAGTCACATCAGCAAAAAGAAGAAGTAACATTAAACTGTGAATTCATATTAAGCATACTAAACTAAATCAAGTGAAAGTTGCAAACTGAAATAGGGTTAAATCTCAGCAAACTCAAATACATCTGTTAACAACAGTACTGAGGAAAAGAATGAAGATTCACAAGTGCAAATGTCACACTCCTACTGTTGGAGAGTTCTGATGCATGATTATGTAATAATGCGGTGATGCAAATTCAAGTGGTTTCACGTGAGATTAAGTGGGAGTTTTCACAAGGCTAATGGCTTGCAAATCTATTTGGCAAATTGCACAAACTCAAGAGGACAATAAGCTATTCCGTGTGTGGAGGTACATGTCTTCAGGATCTGTAATTTTTATTATAAATAAAACACTGGAAACCAGCTGAGGAAGAGTAGAGTATATATTAAACTTACTTTAATGCTACAAGAAGATAAATTTAGGATAATTTAGTCTTACCTTAATGCTAAAAGCAGATGATACAGGTTTGTGGTCACTCTGAAGATAATATGGATAGCTCTTATAATGATGCTGTTCCAGGTCTAATGAAACCTGATCGTAAGCATTCCGAGTGAAATGATATAAAATCCTGTCTGTCCATGCAGGCCTCCGATTCCTAGTGTATTGTACAAACATATAAAATGCTTTAAAGATCCAAACAAAAACAACAATGAAATAGATTACCTCAGAGACTGTACACATTCATCACTGAATTAGATTTACACTACATGTAGAATTTGCAATAATCTAACTTAGCATCAAGAGTGTAGCTTGTTACTAGCAAAAATATCAAATATCCATTAGTTAAGGTAATCACAAAAAAAAGAAAAAAAAGTAGAACAAATAGAAGCCCAGTTTAATTATTAGTATATAAGTCAGAAAGATATTCTGTTTACTGAATATGCAAGCTACATTTATGAGTTTTAAGCACTTTTTTTTTCTTACCCGCACGAGTGATACATCAGTTTTCAGAGAAAAAACTATTTTGTAAATATGGTGCAATACTGACATCTCTTCTTTAAAGTCATTATTGTGTGTCAATTTACAAAAGTTATACAGATCTAACAGCACAGCTTTAGATCTGTATCCTGATAACATGTGATATGTAATATGCTGTGGTTCAAGCATTATAATCACATTCAATGCAGAGAAACAAACTGCTATATTAAGGTATTTAATAGAGAATACAATACATTTAAGATGTGGCTGTCAAAGACACTCACATATGCAAATTAAGAAGTTTTTATTTCAGCTTAATATAAAACATTAGAATAATTAAAGTGCTTTGTCCCCCATTTATTAAGTATGAAACAACATAAGCAGTAGAAAAACAAGATGGATTCCTCAATAGCTGCAGCACTTGAAATTCTTTTAGGCAGGATAAGAGTAAATTAATCTATGAGACTGTTTTCCTTTTTACTAGCTATATATTTGTGTGCACCAACAATACCAAGCATGGGGTGTGCATATACCCGATTAAATTTTATTACTCATCTGGGTCTCTACCAACCTACCCTCAGATTAAAATTCTTTTAGGCAGGATTAGAGTAAATTAACCTACAAGCATGGTCAAGTACATCAAACAAAAGGGTTTGACCTCCTGAGGCCAAAACTGTAATTAAATCTCAAATTGGTCCAGAGATAACAGAGCTACAAACTAAAAGATTGTAATTGAAAAAAACCCAAAATACTCAGAGACATTCTATGAGCTGCTATGTTGCAGCTGAAAAACAAACATTTATTATTTTACCTCATAATAAATTTTTCAGAGTAAAGCATTTTACAACAACTAAAATACTACTTTCACTAGAGCTGGGTGACTAGTGGAATGTTATAATAGGTTAATTTTTGGCCCCCTTAGTCAATTACAATCAATTAATTGATTATTCTCATGAGATCTGGACAGCTGGAATAATCAAAATATAGATAATCAGAAACACTAATTTCAATTAGTTGATTATTTTTGTGAGTTGTGAAACTAAACAACTGAGCTGAATATCCTTGAATTAAGTGAAATTAATAATGGCAATATTTTAAATCCTCAGATCGTTTGTATAATCAAAACCAATAATAATTGAAAACACTAATTTTTATTTGCAGATTATTTTCATGATATTAATCAATTTAATCTTAATTTTAATTAAATGACTATTTTACATGATACTAATCAACATAATCAATGCTTGTAGGTAATTGATTAATCTCTCGGCTCTGATGGTCAGTACAAAGACAGAGATTAAAAATAGATGAATCAAGATCAGACGAAGTTTGCTCAATAATTTTGAAGGAAGTCAAAGATCAAGATACATGGTAGTGTGTTGTGTGGCCAAAACAACCTGCTGCAGGACACATTACGTTATTAACTCTTTCAGCACGGGCTCAGTCTCTGGGACTGAACTTATAACCATTTTGATCTTGTTATAATTTTTATGCTATAACTTATGTTAACGAAATTTGGCAGATTATCAGTAAACATTACAATGCTTTTATATGCAAAATATCAAATATTTTATTAAGTCTTAAGGTTTGTTAAGCAATGTTTTTCTCATGCCTTTTTTTTCTTTTCACATGTTGCCTATCCAACATGCAAAGTAATTTTTATTTTAAGATTAAAAATACTTTTATGCATCAGAAAATTTTCAACTTTCACATGCAAAATCTTTATAATGTCCAGATAGTTATCAAATGTTTCTTAGGAAAAAAACTTTATATTTTATCTGTTATTTTCACTAACGATTCTCTGTATGGATTCGGTAGATATGACCAATCTTGTAAACACCATGAGAAATTAGGAAATAAATATAAGTCATGCTTCTTTCGTTTTAGAATGACAACAAATTATAACACAAAAACATAAATGTGTAGACTAAATATCTTAAGTCTCATAACATTATAAATATATATATATTATTTTTATTATATTGACCTTTCAGCCATGCCTGGCTAATAATACAGAAGTTACAATGACACGGCACACGTGCTCTCATGTTACTGTATCCAATAATATAAAATTGGCCTTCACAAAGTGATGACCTGTCTTAATTGTGTTTTAGTTTAGTAGGCTAGTATTTTCTAAAATACAGTCAACTTTCAATTATTATACATTATATATGTATATAGAATATTATTATTTAGAAATAAGTTCTTAAATGTATTTTTCTTAAAACATAGAACAGTAAATAAAGAAGTAAAGCAAACAATTATCTCTTCTAGTGATGACTTTTGTATTCAGTTGCTGATTGACATAGGTTGCCAAGCCTTTTAAAATTTCACACGTGAAGGATATATACATATGCAATTGAATAACTAAAAGTCATAAATTACTATATCAATACCATAGAATTCCAGTATAATTTATAAAGCTTAGTAACTAAGCTGTATTTCAGTCTAATAAAATATGTAATTTTGAGCAGACTAAAGATGCAACCTAGCTCCTTGAAATCTTGGTTCAAATAAATAAGATGGAGTACTAACACGTGAAAATGGCCGAGAAAGCCACTAGGGGGACATTCTGAACTTTTGATTGGTTATTCACATGTCATATGTTGAAGTAACTGTATATGAGGAAGTGCTTCCAAAAATGGAAAGAGGTGAGCGGGGCCACTGTGTTTGATTCATTACATGAGTGATATCTCAGCAAATAGAAAATATATTAGGTTCTTATTTTATATTGTAGCTTGCTAATATCAGGAATTTGAGTTCCTAATTCATACAAAACTATAAACTTAGTATTTTGACATCACAAACATCTAGTCTAAACCAGTGCTGCATTCAACTTGCCACGTGACACACAAAAATCAATGTTTAACTGCATTTTTTTAATATTTATATTTAAATTAAGAAATTGAATAATGTATAATACTAAAATTTGAATTATAATCTATAGTTTGGAACCAAACTTATCGACATAAATTCATGAAATAGGAGTTTAATAAAATTTTGAATGTGAGTCAACAAACATGATGATATGGACTTTGACCCATGACTTGTCTGGAAAGGGTTAACAGGAGTGATAGTTTAGTAATTTTCCACCTTCTCTATCTCAGACTGTGGTAGTCCAAACTAACAAATATTTTCAGTGGATGTGCTCTACTGGATCCTTACTTCACATCCCACATTTCAAGGCAATACATTAAGAAATACCCAAGATATAACATCTCGAATTTTGATTGAGTTTCTTCCTTTATTTTTTCTTCACACCAAAGTATGGAAACTTTTATTTGATAGAAAAACATACTTAACTCTTATGGATTTTTTCAACTTACAATTACGAGCCTCATTTGGTGTAAATATAAGTCACATGTGCAAAGTTATTGAACAGAAACAGCTCAAATTTGACAAAATGTTTTGTACATGCCTATTGCTGTAAGAGTAAAAGTGGATCTTTTTTAGTTTTTTGTCATGCAAATCAAAGTGGGCTGATTTAGAGCAGCAAAACTCTAAGGTAAAAGGATGTGCTGATACATAAGTATTGGTTAAGCCAAGCAAACTAGATTAGCAGTTTCTTGCTCAAGGTTCCAAAAGAATCATACGGGTGAAGAGTTATTAATTATTCAATGCCAACTTTTCACCATAAATTTACTAAATCTTATGAAATCATCCTAATGAAAGAGCATTTAGCATCACATGATATTAGCTTAAGCAATTAGCATAAATAATGATGCTTGATACTGCTGCACCGATTAAATGGGGGTGATGACAAGAAACTGTTAATCTAAATTCCATCATGCTCCTAGTTGAACAAAAACATTGGCCTGGCTAACTAATGAATGAATATCTTCTGTAAAATTCTTATCAATGTTATAAGTGTAGCTATCAGTTTGGCTTCCAATTTTGATTTCATTCCTTTAAGTCGCACACTCAACCCCATTTTTTTTTTTCACATCTAAGATGTTTTTGATTAGATTAGATATTCCAGCTTCTCTTTCTTTCATTTTTGGTCAATAGACAGATAGATGGCCAGGTAGAGTTGCTGAGATTATTTCTTGTTTTCTTCAAGGAAGTAATAAGTTACCTTGAAAATTACAGGCCGGTTGATCTTACATCTGTAGTAAAAACATATTGTAGTCTGATAAAAGACACTAAATTTTAAGAGAAAGCTAACAGGGGTTCTCTATAGGAGAAAGCTTGCCTTACTGATCTTTTAACTTTTTTTTGAAGATATTACTTGTCATCTGGATGAAGGAGAAGATTAATCTTGGAAAATCATATAAGTAAGAGCTAAAGAAAGACTAGTTAACTGGACTGTAAGGTTGTTGGGTGAGAAAAGCAAATGACTTTTATTAATGGAGTCCAGTCAAACTTGACCTATGTTACTAGTGGAAAGCCTCAGGATTGTCTATGATTGGGCTTTTGTTTTTTTTCTTAAATCTGTTAATGCTATTGATAGCATCATAAGTAGTAAAATAGTAAAGTTTGCTGATATTAAATTCTTGTGTATTTCTACAACGATCTGGATTAACTGGTAAGTTGGACAAAATATTTGGCAAATTTTCATTAGTTATGATAAATGCAATTTAACCCTCTGGCCATTGTGAGAAACTTCTGTCTCTCATCTTCAGGTCAGCTTGCATCAGACTTGCATTGGTTTAAATGCTATCTAGAAGGACTGAGATT